TAGCAGTGCTATTTACAATAGTAACACTATCAATCATAGTTCGTATTAGGTTGTAGAATAGGTCTGAAACACAGAATTGCTTTAAGAAAAGTTCTAAAACTACCAGAAGTAATTCTCAGAGCTTTACTCAATCCACACAAGAAAGGCAAGGCAAAAACATGATTGGACTAAGCTGGAGTCCACAGAAGACTCCTGGGACTGGGTCCCCAAAGGGACACCACTTGGCAGAGGACAGTGAGATGTCTACTGTGCAAGTCAAATTCATTATCATTTGCTGGTGCTGCAAGTACAGATGTTCTTTTTTCATTTTCTTTAAACTAGGCAGAGATAATTGATGGATCCACTGGCACATATGGGGTACTACTCAAAAAAATGCTTAAATGCAATTTTTCTACTGCCTTTTAACAATGGTAATCCAGCTTCAGAAAGGATAGCTATAGATAGACATCAAAGAAAGTCCCATTTGACATAAAAAGTCTGTATTTAATTGTAGATATAAAAGTCACATTGAAAATAAACAATCCAAACACTGCGCTTGTATTAATTTGCTAGACAATTCATCTCTTTAAACTTTTCACAGCGTATTTTTCAATGAAAAGGGAGGATTCTTTCACCTGCATTTGATTTAAGTCATGTCATTACATCATTTTGTCACAAGAGGGACTAGACAGTCAGGAGTACAGCTCTCCTGGGTGGTATTAGCCTGTCTAACTTTCCTTCTGTGCACACTGGCACTACTGCCAGTGCATTGGTTAGAGAGTCGGGTACAGATTTGATATCAGGAAAAAAATGTTAACGAACACCACCAGCTTGCCATTTTATTTCTGAACTTGTGTAAAATATATATACACTCCTTGGATTCATGAGCCATTTTGGCTTTCATAGACTTTTTAAATATAGTTGGTTTTTTTTTTAATGTGCCAATTTGTTTATATGTTGAACATACTTAGATGTGCAAGCTCAAGATCAATTATTTCTAGATATTTGCAGCCGATCCCACATTTGATAAAATGAATCAAAGTAACTGAGATGCTAGAACAAAGCCATGTGTTACCTGTCTTACTCTGAAGTAGCTCAATAGTCTGGAAATAATTAAACTGGACTGGCAAGAGCATCAGCTGAAGGTGTGTGTAAATGTCTGTGTGTGTGTGTGTGTGTGTGTGTGTGTGTGTGTGTGTGTGTGTGTGTGACTTTAGTCACCATTTTCAACATGAACTGGGCACTGAGAGATAAAAATAAAACCAAATAGTACCTAACATGTAAGTGTGTTGAATGAATAAGCAACTTTAATGGATAGGAACGCCAGGTGTTACCTGAATTTCATCAGAAAACAATGAATTGCTTAAAATAACAGAATCAGAGGATCCCAGAAACATTAAGTAAAATAATTCATCAAAGATCAAGTCCTGCCGGGCGGTGGTGGTGCACGCCTTTAATCCCAGCACTCGGGAGGCAGAGGCAGGCTGATCTTCGTGAGTTTGAGGCCAGCCTGGTCTACAGAGCGAGATCCAGGAAAGGCACAAAGCTACACAGGGCAACCCTGTCTCAAAAAACACCAAAAAAAAAAAAAAATCAAGTCCTATCTCCTGGTTCATAACACATTTTAGATCAAACTCAGGAACAGTAAGGGGAGAGGATGATTCTGGGGTTTGGGTGGAAGGAAATTAATGTTATTGCTTTTTCCACAAGCACGGCCTCTACTCGTGTGCTTGAGCAGGAAAACGTCAACTACTGCAAAACAAGAAAATGTCATTTACATTTCTTTTACCTTAGTTTTGGGAAACAATTACAAGAACCAGTGAATGTTCTGTTGTAGTTTATATACTCTATAAGAATAGTGCACTTATTTTTAAAAAAACTAAACAAATGAATTTTTTTCACAGCACTTGAACTTAAAGTGGCATGGGAACAGTAAGTGGGACATTTAACCCCCAGCTGCTATTTCCTTCCCCTTTTTAAGGTCTGGGAGGATTTTTTTTTTCTTTACTTCCTTTTCAGCTTGTCACCCCTGAGCATTCTCCTCTGTCCAACATTGACTTCTGCCTCCACATGTCCTGAAATTTTCATGATGGATAGTAAATGAAGAAATCAATTTAAAGAAATGGAGGGGAGCCACATCAATTTAATATCTTGAATGTATTAGCCCCATAGCACTGAGACATAAGCCCTAAATCATACAGAGAAATGTATTTGCTCTTATTGGTACCATAATAAATTACAATCAATTACTAGCTCATAATTTTGTTGGTCAAGGTTCAGTATAGCCTTATCACACTCAGTCCATCATTTCAGACCATTTTTCCCAGTCTCTTCTTCTGTCAGGTAGAGATGTGGCTGATTTCTGGCTAATGGTGGTATATAAATTCCCTTTTGTGTGTCCCTGCACACTCTTGCCTTGTCTTCCTGCTGGATGCAAATGATATGAAGGTGTTATCAGGCTGTAATCTTCCAGCTTTCTCTGGGGGAAGCATTTTCATCTCATTTGAATTGTTGGCAGAATTCAACTCTTAGGCTTGAAGGACCGAGGTCTCATTTTCCTTGGAAAAACCTCAAGGGGACACAGCATTTCTTCACTCATGACTCCTCCATCTTCATGATGTCATTGGTAATTGTGATCCCTCTCAGACTGCTATTATTATCTGATGCCTGGGGCAGTCTTCTGCAACTATCTTCTACTTTTAAAAACTATTCTGAAAAGATACCAGGTCCACTCAAGTAACCCAGCATAATCTTAGAACCTATAAACTTAATCTAATCTGAAACTCATTTTTGCTATATCAAATTGCATATTCTGATTCTGGAAATTGCCATGTGGACTCTGGTGGGAAGCCATTATTCTGATTACCACAAGAAAATGATGTTGAATTAAAAGTCTATGTTAGTCTTGGTAAAGTCAGTTAATTTAAAACACAGAAGAGAGCCTGTGTAGTGCTGCACACTTTTAATCCTAGCATAGGAAGGCAGAGGCAGGTGGATCTCTGTGAATTTGAGGCCTGCCTGGTCTATAGAGTGAGTTCCAGGATAGCCAGGGTTACATAGTTAAACCATATATCAAAAATAATTTTTTTTATTCCAGCACCCGTTGTTTATAATTACACCAAACTCTTGAAGCAAGACTAGTGTGTCTGGTTTCTTATAACTCTTGTCCATTGTTTTTTAAGCTAATTCTATGAATTACGTGTTTCCCATTGTTTAACAAGTTGAAAAATAAATGCCCAATTTATAATTAGGAAATTAAGACATTGAAACAGAAGACACCACTTAATAAGATATATTTTCTAAAAATTTGAGTTGAAGTAGGGTTGTGGAATAGCATTTTTCTAAAGGTTGTGAAGTAGTATTATATGCAATAAGTATTTTTTTTCCAGAATTACTCTTAACTATTTAATTTTTTTGTTGAGGAGACAATTCCTAAGATAGAATATAGTCAATGCTCATAATTTAATCAAGAGCCTAGACAGTGGGATGATGTAAAGTAATAGAAAAAAAGGTGGCATAGGAGAACAATACAACAGGGCTCCACTGTTCTTAAGAATCACGTGAGGGTAAGCACTGTATTTGCGCATCTGTGTATACACAGCCCCTGCCATGTAGAAAGCACTCAGGAAATACTAACTACCTTCAAATTAACTATGGTAAGTAAATTAAGCGGCATTTGCATATTTTTATGTGCAAGGTATAGTTGTAAAAATCCTTCAGTGTCCTCAGGAATTTTTAATAAATTGGTTTTTAAGTAATATTATTGAAAAACTTGGACTCAGTAAAATAGGAGATTTATTCCTGTACTATTTATCTTCAGTCATCATCACTTCTAAGAGTAGCCAAGGCTTTTGAAAACAAGTACTACTTCTGATTGTGAATTCCAGGACACACAAAAGAAGCTCCTTATACATATAGGGATAAAGTAGATTGTAGAAGAAATATCTATTGAATGATAGTAGAAAAAAGATCATTGAGGTTTTCACTTATTTTTAGTATTTATGGAGTGAGACTGACAGCACAACCTAAGTAGGGAAAAATAATGAAAGTAGTTGAAGACAGTCTGAAGCAAGTCTTTGTCTTTAGGTCTGAGTGGTTGAACATTAAGCTATCTTATAAGGTCGTGAGTTTCACTTCCCGGAAGTGGTGAGAGCTTGAGTGTGCCCCATAGGCTCAAATGTTGGAGTATTTGTTCCCCAGTTGGTGGCGCTGTTTAGAAGTACAGCTTTGCTGGAGGAGGTGTGTAACTAGGGATGGGCTTTGAGGTTCAAAACTTCTCACACTCTCCTAGCACACTCTCACTGCTTGGTGCTTGAATCAGCTCAAGTTATAAATTCTCAGCTTGCTGCTCCAGTTGACATGACTCCCCACAGCCACCTCCCTACTGTGATGGTAATGAGCTCTTACCCCTCTGGAGCCATAAGCCCAAAGAGCCCCTTCCTTCTAAAAGTTGTCTAGGCCATGGGGTTTTATCGCAGCAGTAGAAAAGTAACTAATATAAAAAAATCATCAAGCAGGAAATTTTATCATTACAGTTCATTTCTTAAACCAATACTTGACATAGAAAACATCTAAGCAGACACAGATGATCACATATAAAGAATGTGTACTAGATGTCTAAGTGAAGGCATGAGAGGCAGGCAACTGCCACGTCAGTTTTAGTGTCTGGACATTTTCCTTTCTCCAACCATTATCCTTCCTTATAGGATCCATTTAGAGGCACAGGAGCAATAAGAGAATGAAATCTGCAGAGGTAGAGGGATTTATCAGCCAGGTCATTAGCAGTTTAATATGCTGATAAGACTTGGGTTTTTATGGGGGTTATATGATTTGAATCAGCTTCTCTAAACTTTAATTTTCTTCACAAATGTGCAGGGATGAGAATGGGAAGTGGTAAACAGTATCTATCAATTTTTGTTCCCACTTCTGAAGAGAACCCCAGATCTGCATTAAATCAAAAACAACAATCGTGGTTGGTAACTTGGACATTGGTTTAAAATATTCTCCATGGTTTGTTACAGGAAAGTAGATCATTCAAAAAAGCGGTTTGGTATCCCCATGGATCGGATTGGTAGAAATCGACTTTCTAGTTCCAGAGGCTGATGGATTCCCATCGTGAGTACAGTTCCAACAAGCCGTCTATGGGCAGGTGCTAGAAAACATTTCACACTAGATGAATGGGTGCCCATCCTTACTTGTAAATGTCCTTTTTTTTTTTGGTTTTTTAGAATATATATATATATATATATATGTATGTATATATATCAGTATATATAGTTTTTAGAATATATATACACATTTGCAAATATTTCTTTAGATAATGTATTGATGCTAAATAATTTAGAGGACTTTTAGAAAGGAAACAAACATCCTACCAAGAGTGTGGAAATTTTTGAGATAGCAAGATGACATTTTTATCTATCTTCAAAATTCACACTCAATGTACAATCAAGTTTTAAAATTTTATACATGCACAAAATCTTATAATAATTCAAGTAAGTTTACAGTTTATATTGTGCTGCGTTCATAGATACCCCGAGGCACATGCAGTTCAGAAGTTGTTGCTTGGACACACTTGAGGAACACCAAATTTTATCTTTCAAATAGAAAAGTCACCCATCCCAATGTTTCATAAAAAATAATTTAGCAATTTTTCACATTATCCTGTGCAATTGTCTAATGTTAATATGCAAGTAAGGGTTTAGATTATAACTAACATCTGTCCTAGTTAACTTTAATTGTTAACTTGACACAGCAAAAATCTCACTGAGAGGAAAGCCTGACTGAGATATTGCCAGGATCAGATTGGCCTGTAGGCATGTGGGCCAAGCCTACTGTGAAGAATACCATCCCTAGGGGCTTGGACTATGTAAGAAAACTAGCTAACTATGAGCATGGGAGCCAACTGGACAGTGGGCCAGTAAATGGCACTTCTTGATTTCTACCTTCAGGTTTCTGCCTTGTATACCTGCCCTGCTGTCCCTCAGTGATGGACTGTGTCCTGGAAGTATAAACCAAGGTTCTTCCCCAAGTAGCTTTTGGCCAGAGAGCAATAGGAAGAAAACTAGAAGAGCACAATAAATCATTTTTTAATTTAATTAAAATATATTATATCACAAACAACAAATGTTTGTTGACTTTGAAATAGAGGCAATATGTTTTCTTCCAGTAAAGCTCCTGAAAGGTCCATCCTTGCTTCCAAACAATTCCAATGACCTGCAACTGCTGTAACCGTCTCAGTATGGAGACATGGGAATTCTGTGCTCTACTTCTTTTACCACATTGGCCTCATCCTTTCATAATTTATAATAGTTTTTTGTTCCCTTCAAATATTCTAAAGTCATAATGAGGCTCAATATTTTATGAGAACGACTTAATTAAAAGAAGTGTTGATGCCCAAGAATTTGTTGATATTGATGTTCTGTGGTCACTGAGTCCCCATTAAAACAGGAGTACGCACTGACAACTGAGAGGCACACTGTCTTTTGAACAGCATTACTTTCAAAACTCACATGGAAAGCCGGGCGGTGGTGGCGCACGCCTTTAATCCCAGCACTCGGGAGGCAGAGCCAGGCGGATCTCTGTGAGTTCGAGGCCAGCCTGGGCTACAGATTGAGTTCCAGGACAGGCGCAAAGCTACACAGAGAAACCCTGTCTCGAAAAACCAAAAAAAAAAAAAAAACTCACATGGAGCTCTTTGCTTCATATCTAGAAATAGACTAAATGTGATCATTCCTTGGGTCTGCTTCTGCTAACAACTGCCACACTTACAGTTGAACAGGAATTAACTACTAGCTAGTAAAAAGCCAAGTACTTTCTGGAATCAAGGGCACATCTTCCAATTTTCTGATACATTAAAATGACCCTGAGATTGATATAATTCTCTCACTGATTTCATTATCATATGCTTTAATATTTCTGAATTTCCCAAAATGCACATGAGAGCCAATATAAGAAACTCATTTACATATGAATATTCACACAATAGGAACTCTGGACAGACAGGAGATAACCCAGGTGCTTTCATATCCAGGAACAGTAATGACACATAAATTTGTGAACTACTGTCCACACAACAAACTTCAGAGTGTCAGTAAGTATGGCTCTTCCTAGTCAAACCTGAAGACAGCGATATCACATGAGGCTTAGAAGAAAACTTAACTTCACACGTTTCTCTCTTCTCCATTTGTCACTGTGGATTCATCTTCTCAGTCATTATATTTTTGTAATTTCCCACCATTATCACCAAGATTTCTCAAATATTTATTTCCTCATGTGAAAGTTTGTGATTTGAGTGGATAACAAAACCTATAAAATAATAGATAATTTTCATTCAAATTTCTGTTATTTCTAATACATTTTTTTACTATGACAATATTCCTTTAATTTAAACAGGGGGTGCAATTTGTACAGCATGGCATTTACAAGATAAGAATTTGAGCATTGAATCTGCCAAGTTTTGCTGACTCTCTATGGGAGTTCATACCTTTTTGGAGGAGGGGATGAGGGGTGGGCTGGGAGGGGGGAGGCTGAGGGGGAGCGGGAGGAGGGATGGGGGCAGAATCTGTGGTTGGTAAATAGAATGAATAAAATTTTTTCTTAATAAAAAATAATTTGAGCATTGTTAAGTAACATCAAATACTTAAATAATTACAGATTTGAGAACATAATGTCTTGTTTAGCCCAAACAATTCAGGAAATTTGAGTTACTGACTGACATTGGTGCAATCCACATTTTACAGATTTTGTGCAGAGCAAGGTAGAGACATCAGATACTTTACTCTCTAGGCCAATATCCTCTTTATAACCCACCAACTTTTCCTGATTCCAGACTATTGATGTTCGTTGAGAGCATAACTGGTCATTTTGAGGTCAATCAGTTGGTGCCAGGGATCAAATCCAAGGTCTTTCACATGCTAAGCAAGTGTAATACCCCTAAGCTATACTCCAGCCCCAATTTGTCACAGGGCAAGCCACAGAGAAAGCATATTCTGTCTCTGTTTCAGTTCTGTGGGGGCTGAAGTGCTTTCCCTTGGAGGAGGCTTAGTCGTGGGTTTTTCCCTTCTGGGTTTCACTTTGAGTTTTCACACTAAATGTGAAACTGTTCCCTATTCAGAGAAAATTGGCTTGGTTTAAGGTCAAGTTCACAAACAACTACTAGAAATTAACAAATTTCCAGAGAAAAGGCCAATCTCTTTTCTGCTATATTTTGGAAAGGAATATAATATGATATTTACATGTTTTATTCTAATCAGCCCTATGTCCATACTAAAGTTTTGAGAGTGTAGAGGCATTGGCTTAAGCAACTCACATTCAACAGATGTTTTGTCCACATTTTTGTAGCTTTTCTAGGTGGAATTAGAAACCAGTATTGAAGTCAGGATTGCCTGCTTCATGACATTAGAAACACAACCATTGATGTGGCAATCATTTGCAACTACCTGAATTAAGACTTTTCTCTAATGGTGTAAAGCACATATCATTGTTTTAATGAACAATTTTAACTAGCATGACGTTGACACCACTGTTCATATAAATTAACAGAACTCTGAAATCCAGCAGGAATATCACGTGTAAAAGATAGTGCAAGGTTAAATTCTTGTATCAGGAGCAAAATACATAGTTATCAATGTATACCTAAAACTAAACAAACTCTAGTCAATTTCTCTTTATCCAAATGTTTTTCATGAAATACCCTTTGAACTAAGATCAAAACCTGGAGAGAAATTTGATATAGTTGATATCAAAAGAAAGAACTGACAAATACTATAATTTTCACTAAAACTTGAGCATAGGCTCTTAGCTTACTCATCACAAATGCTCTTTTAATTCACTGATACTTGAAATAATTACTTTACATTATGGTATAAAATATGATATGTAATTAAAAGCTGACTTGAAGTACCACACAATTAAATGATTACATCTTCACTGTTGAAATTGTGGAATTTCATCTGATTTGCAGAGTGTAAAAATCATTTTAACACCTTCAACTTTCACTTTTCTAGATGCGTCTGACTTGCACAGAACTTAGAGAAGATGCTTCAGTGAAGTTCTTCATTCCTCCCTGCTGGTTAAATTGTTGAGGAACTAATCTTCTGCAAACCTTCCCAAAGCTTGAGAACCTCAATTCGTTGTGTCCTAGTGTTGCTATGGTTTTAGTTAAGTTGTGCAGAGCATTTCAGTGCATGAATATCTTTGAGAATATTGTTTTGATTATTCATAAATTGTAACATGGCCCCTAAACCTACCTTTTAAAACATTTGTCAAGTACTATGCATCCTCTTGCCATTAATGCTTTTACAATTCAGCTACCCAATGTGCTTTCTAAAAACCTAGGGTTTAAAGATTTGAAGACATAAAGAAAGGAACACATGTACAGAATGCATAATGATTTATAAAGGGTTTTTTAATTTTTCTGAAATGTGTCAAATTGCTGAAAATCTTCACTCTAGTCTTAGAGAAAAGGCAGCAAATGAATGTTTGCTTCAAGTGTGGTAGAAGGCTGTAGCAAAGGGAAATACATTTTGAGAAAGTTGAGGATAGTATTCTTTAGAAACTAATATCTAAAAGTTAATATAAGGAAAGTCAATATAACTGGCCTATGTGTAATGTTCTGCAGAACTCTGAATTTAATAGATTTATTTGAAAAGAAATTACTGTCTCTGTTGTTGATTTTTCCCAGCATTGGAGTGGACTATACAAATGTTTCCTATGTTAGAAGCTTTGTTTTTGTTTTGTTTCGTTTTTCTTTTTCTCTTCATTAGATGTTTATAAGCTACCAATCCAACCAAGTAGAGCTTCATGCCTTGATAAAAGACATTGAAATCAATATTAGGCTAAAATATCTCATATTGAAGTTTGAACTGTACACATGGATTTCCTGTATTACTTAATTTAAAAAATAGGCTATGAGAGCAAGGAATACAGCTCAATGGCAGAGTGCTTGCCTAGCATGAAAGAGACAATTTTTCTGTCTAATTGGTAAGGTAGCTCTTGCCTGTAATCCCAGCACTTGGAGATAAGAGGAGGAAGATCAAGAATTCAAGGCCACCCTCAGCTAAGTACAAAGTCTGAGGCTCGGCTGAACAACATGAGACCTCTTTTTCAAAAGGAGAAAGAAACAAGGGAAGAAATGAAAGGAAAAAAGGAAGGAAGGAAGGAAGGAAGGAAGGAAGGAAGGAAGGAAGGAAGGAAGGAAGGAAGGAAGGAAGGAAGGAAGGAAGGAAAGGAGGAAGGGAGGGAGGAAGGAAAAAAGAAAGAGAAGAGAAGAAAGAAAACATGCAATCACATCTAACTCAAAGTAAGAAAACATAACATATTGATTTATGCTCCATTCATAAATGGAGTGCAGAGTACAATTGTCTCATAATGCAAATTTCAATGAAGAAAAGAAAAACACCTTCTCAACTTAAAATTACTTTAATTCATGCATCTTAGTTTTCACTACCACACTGAAAAGAATAGAAATATAAAAAGCATTATTCTAGTTGAAATGGAGTCTTCTTAACTATAAATTAAAACATCAGTTTTGTTAATAATGAGATATCCTATCTCATTTGTTTTTAATACAATGTATAACAGTAGATTCAACTGTATTTCCCTGGGGAGCCAGCAATTTAAAAAGTCATGATTTAAAGCTATATATATTTTGCCTCTTTCTCCTTGTTTCTAAATAGAGATACATAGAGCAAATGAATATGTAAATAGAATTTCTGAGTTCTAGTGTTAATTACATAACCAACTTTACATGCAAGGATGTAACTCTAAGCTACAGTGTCTTCAAATTTACGCTACACAAAATTGATCAAATTTCACCTTTAATCTCCATATCATCTTGGGAATTAAATTTCTTAAATTACTAAAAACTGAATTCAATCTCCTAAAACGCAGCAATGGCATTGTGTTCGATGCATAAGTTTCAATGTGCTGGAATATTTTTCAAAGTAAATAAATGTGAGATGAAAATAGCTGGAGTCTTAATCTTCAAAACAGCCTTGTGTTTGTGCTCACACCTCTTGTAAGTACACAGGAGCATCCTTAATTCTTATCTCCTCTTGCTTATTCCTATGTATTTGTGTGGTCTTAAGAAAGTGCATACATTGTACGCCAGGCATGGTACTTAATGCTGATCCCTTTATTTTCTTCTTCTTTTCTTTTTTATTTAATGTGAAATCTAGTTTTAATCCAATCTGACATCTATATTTTCAGATTTTAGATTTTTAAGAAGACAACATCATTTGTAGAAAAATCTTCTACCTAAATACAGAGTTAACAAACATTGAAATTTGTTCTCTAGAAGGAAGCCAAGCTCATTTCGGGAGAGATGTAGTTAAGAGCCTTGTGGTCAGATGGACATCACTTGTGTACCGCGGCTTGTCCTTGGTGACAGATGAAGGGAAGTGGCATCCTCTGTGGTTCCAGAGTGGGAAGTCATATCTCAGAGACGTAAAGCATGTGATGGTCTTGTTCTGCTTTCCATCCATCAGGGGAGAGTTTTTTATTTTTATATTTGTTTCTTTGTTGGTTTAGAATGAAATACCAGCCCGTTGTCTTTGCCTTGTGAGTTATAACCCACCTGCCTAACTTATGGCACTTTCATAGGTTTTGTTCACTGACCACAAGCACAATGACTTTTTTCCTTTTTCAAGGATGTCAAGTCCTTCCTACTTCGGCCTTTGCACTTGCTAGTTCCCCATTTCTCCAGCACCTTGAGGACTTGCTCCTTTTCTTCAACCACTTTGCATGACCTTCCCAGCGTTGAAGGTCAGCCCAAATATCACCTTTTCAAAAGGACCTCTGAGATCTTGCTATGCATTCAGCTGAGTTCCTCTACCCTACCCCTAATCATTATAATTTCCGTTGTCATTGTCTTAAAAGACCTCACTTGGGTCTCTGTTTATTACGTGTTACCCCACTAGGCTTTAAGTTGTCTTCATTACTCAGGTATCCTCAGCCTTATCACAGGGCTTTGTTCTTTTTTTTTATTAAATGCTAGTTTAATAAATTCTACCATCCTCTTTTATGAAATACATAGATTTAAAAATGCACTTCTCAATATTGTAAAGAAAAAGGAATGTATGTGGGCCACATAAAGTGTAGTTACCAATATTCTTTAATTCAAAAGTTACTTTTACAATGCCTCTGTGTCAGAGAGGTTGTCAGGCAAAATTAAGCCTAAACTCTGAGGCTGGAATTAAGTAAACAGGCTTGTTCAGCTGTAAGAAAAAACAATGTAATCATGGGAAATTAAAATCTAACAAGGAAAAGCCAATGCATTTGGGGGAGTTTTGTTTCAGAGCACACAGAATCCCACCTGTTCTAGGCATGCAGATAGTGTCAAAGAGTTCCTGATGCTCTAGAGGAAGCAAATGTGAGAAATTAGAAACCCCAAAACAAACTGTTTTTATCAACATTTTCTTTACATACTATTTCTGAGAAATCTAGTATTACTTTCTTCTGTGATTAGGTAAAATATGTATCTCTGTTCCTTAGTAATGTATTCATCCTTAGTGTTCTCCATAACAACTGCCCCAATTAATCCAAAAGAAGCACAATCCTCAAAATGAGAAAGAGGCATAATGCATATTTTCCACATGAGTTGAGACAATATAATTTATTTTCACTTTCTAAGATGCTTTTCAAAATATTTTTATTGATAGCCAACAACAAAGCATTGAAAGCATTGAGGGAGAGAGAGAGAGAGAGAGAAGTTATACAATAAATCAAACACTTTCAGTTTCAGCTCAAAGCCATTTTGGTGGTCAGTTCCATTCCAGAGTGTAGCCAGTGTCTCTCTTTACCCCATGAGCGTTCAGCAAACCATTACCCAGGCAGGAGCAGGTGAGAAAGCGAGAAAAGTAATGTGTGGAGTAAGAGCCAGTTTCTTAACGCTTAATACAAAGATAAACTTTAAGCAAGAGAATATCAATGTACCTAAGTGTTCTTTTCTTTTGTATATCCAGAGAAGACTCAGACACAGTATTTCCAAAAGCAAGCTAGAGAAGAAAACAAAGCAAATTATTAGAAGGATTTTTTAATCATCCACTTGAATAAAATAGTATATGTACTCAAAAAAGAGATGGATATCATTTAAAAAAAAAAACTATGGTCAATATGGTAGCAACTGGCTTTATGTGGGCTTAAAATTAAATGAGTTAATAATTCAGGTTCTTCATTATGCTAGCCATATGTCACATTCATAATACCACCTACCCAGAGGTTATGACTACCAGAATGGGTACTATAAATTAGAGAATGCTCCTACCATGATAGTTTTATGGGTCACCACTATTCTGCATTATAATGCACATAATACAATCCGAGGACCACAGGCGCTGACCTAGGAGACACACACTTCCATTTCATATTTTGCATAACTGAAATGCTGAAGAAGAAGTCATATAAGTAAAAGGTGGGGCTAAATGATCCTGTGTTTATTAAGGGAAGAAAAATGGGAGGTTCATAATCACCTTGCAACCCACCAAATGATATTTAGGTGACTTATTCTTCATCACATTGAACCTTAATATTCTGAACATATTACACTACTTCAGACAAATAAAAACCAAATTTAGCAGCATTTCAGTCCTCGAACACATGAGTGAGTCATTTTAAATCTTCAGTAGGTAGAGCCACACATGAGTGAGTCATTTTAAATCTTCAGTAGGTAGAGCCATAGCTCTCCTTCTGAAAAATTGCATTCAGCTCCTGTGAAAGCAGGAGTCTATTTTCAGATCTGAGCTGAGAACGTGGCCCTTTAATCCAGTCTTCCTTTAATAGTGTGTTATGGAAAGTCATCATCATAGTGCCGTTTGTTCCTCCAGATATCTTTGGATATCTCTGTCTGGCACAAAAATAAAAGCTGACACAGAGCCAAGGTTTAAACCACATGGCACTGCAGCTAAGTTTGCAGTGGAATGGAGTTTGGAGAAATATTTGGGGCCTGCTTGAAAGTGACTGCCATGAGTTATTGGAGGAAATTATTAAGTTAACTCCACGTAGTTAAAAGGGGAGGTTTATTTTGGGGGATATCTTACAACGAGTAAAGGGATAGGTTACAGGATCCGGGAGAGGTGAGGTGAAGTCCAGCTGAGTTCTCTGGAGAACTCCACTCAGTCTACCATCTAGCATCCAGGATCACCAGGAACCAAGAAAGCCAGCAAATCCAGACCTTGGGTCTTAAGGGCTCCCTTCTGGGCCTCACCTCAGGGGCAGGTCATAGGTAGGCGTGGCAGTTACCAGAAGCCTCACTGGGGGTAGTACTTCCAGGTCAAAGCTGGAACAGCTACCCACTACAATGAGTGGTACAATTAATAGAGTCAATCCCTCCGTGCATCCAAATCATCTCTTTTTCATCAAGTTAAATTCCCACCAGCTTAACTGCTGCTGACCCCTCACGTCGGTCTAACTCACACTTGTGTTCAGTATTGAGTGACTATGCTCATAGCAGCTCTCTAATGACTATACATTAAATATTTAAGGAAAATTATTTCAGTAGATGAAAATTGTACTGCCTTACGCTGGATTTGGGAGTCCATTTCACCTTCATACATGGTTGTTCAAAGTAATTACTTTTTAGATGTGCCAACAGTACTGACTTGTTAAAGAATGTATATCGTTTCATGAGCCAACCTGGCCATCTATTTCATATGGT